ACAATGCGATCTCACCCCAAGAAGGGTTTTACGCAAATCGTCGTCCCAAAATGTTTGTGCTTCCTCACTTGAGAAGCCATTTTGATTTAGCGACTTCTGTGCACTACATCCAGATGAACCATTTGCCCGGCGAAGCACGAGCGAGTACTGAGCCCAAACCCGCAGCTCGAGCGACCTGCTGCTGGACACCTTCTCCCTACAAACATGTAAGCCTGCGACCCTTGACGAGTAGCCCTTAATTAAAGAAGTCTTTGATTTTTCGGGGCTTTATGGGATGGTTTCGGATTTGTGGCACAGAGGGCCAGCGTGTGATCCCACTGTGCATATTGCGAGCTTGTATGGACTACCATATATGTGGGGGTATGGGGGGACGTGTGTGTGAAGCCAGAGGTCCGTAGAAAAGAAAGTGTCTATCACATCTCGGTCTCTTGAGCTTTCCACTATACGTGTGGAATGGGGACACCCATTAAACTACATGGTTTTGATGTTGTCCGAGAACTCCATATTTTGTTGCATCCCTTTTTCAACCCATTTCTGCTTGTAGGCAGGCCATTGTCACACGCAAGTCCAGGAATCCTGAACTCTTGTGGCAAGGACGGCCTTTGAGCTGTTGAGGCGTTGGCCTGGTATGGGATTATGTGATTTTTACGTTTGGGGCCGGAATATGCTTCTCTGATACAGCAAAGAAGGTGCAGATGGCCAGGTCCCACGCAAAGCCTGATTTTGCTCAAGCCGCACTGCTCCCATGGGCTCTGGTAACTTGGGATGACGGGCAATGGTCCCTTGCACAACAATTGGCCCTTGATCAGCTTTAAGGCTTGTGTAGCTAGAGTCAGGTGTGAGGTGTCGAGGCATGATTTCTTCATCCGGGATATGAGCCTTCCAACGCCCCTCATAATAATCCCTCCTCAGATTATATGGCTGTACTGCTTGTGTTGTATTATGTTTGGTGTTTTTCACTGTTGGAAGTCTGGGGAGGTTTGGCAAGGGGATTGCGTTTGGCGCGACCAAGGTACCCTTGCTTCCCTCGGTTGGGGCTTTGGGTTGCAAATGAAGCTGGAAGATGAAAAGGGAGCGAACACGTGGGGCTTAGGGTTTAGGGCTTAGGGCTTAGGGTTAATCATCTCGCTTGGGCATAGCTACAGGGTCTACAGCTGTGGGACACCCTGCGCTCTGCTATGATTCTCAGCTTCAGGTCCATCGCTTATAGTCCCCCTTAAGCAGATAGAATATGGTGTATATGGGGATCCTATGAAAAATTCCCAAGGCCATATTCTATCTACTTAAGAGGGACTATATGACCCACGCACTAATCATGAGCCCTCCCCCTCTAAGAACTCCTTTGTACTATGGAATGACAACGGCAGTATTTACTACTATGGCTTGGAAGGTTAGTTAATGTATTGGCGGGGCAGGGTAACAGCCTCCCCCATATTTCTTGTGAAAACTTTGTATGAGGAACCTCGAAGAAACCTTGACATAGGTTGTGTTTATCAAGCCCCTACATTAACATGACGTACAGCTTTTGCATCGCTGTTTGGTCACTAGGTTGAAGCCTACAGCATTCGGTAAGGGAAAGCCGCGCCATTCCACTATGACTAGCCTGTGACAACGGCATAGTCGTTCTATTGAACTTTTAATTGATGTTGGATTGCCGGGGCGCCCGCATGTTTCTACGACTACAGTGACTACAGCTTATGCAGTTTGGAGCTCTCGAACACACACTGACCAAACTGGACTTGCACCTGTGCTTTGCAAGTGACGGAAGCCTTTGATCCCAAATCCTGATTCCTACCCCCCCACACACTCTCATAATGGACATTCACAGTATAGTACATTACGGTGAGAATCTAGTATTCGGGCGAGGGGGGGGGGGTCATTGTGGGTAGCCGAGGCTGCCATGTTCGGCAGGAGCTATGGCGAGCTCGATTTGGGTTTTCGGGATCATTCCGGACCGTCGGTTGTGGAAGGCGACGATGCAGCTAAGGAGCTTGAAGAAAGCTACCATAACCATGGGGCCCTAAAGTCTAGAAATAAAAAAAGACCCTAAACCCTAAACCAACCATACTATTTGCTATACAGCCATTCCCAAGCAGCAAAGCAAGCCTTGCAGGGAGCGCCATATACCCGTTCGTCGAGTAATATGCTTGCAGGCATGCTACCGATCCCGAACTTGTTGAAGATACTCCTGATTCAGGGTGTATTGTTTTGGTCACTGACCCAAGGATTAAGGGAAGGGCCCAGTCGTGCAGAAAAAATCCTGATTCAGGATGTATTGGGCTGTTTGGGCTCCATAGGTTGAGGCTCCAGGTTTACCAGTCTCCTTAGGATAATTGCAGCAATGCGCCTGCGCTACCCCAACGTGAGTTGGATATGGGTTTTTGGGTTTTAGGGTTTAGGGTTTTAGGGTTTAGGGTTTAGGGTTTTAGGGTTTAGGGTTTAGGGTTGCCTCAACTTCCTTAACACCCGCATCCCCTGCCATGCAAGATTCCTTGAAGACACGCAATGCGCTGAGGACATATGTAGCCATACGAAACCTAGACCCCAAAACATTTAGTGGCACTGGGCGGCGTGTATAAGATGATGAGGAAAGGGGATTTTCCCTGGGGATCGGGAAAAGAAGTCGAGATGGTATTGCTGCTGCCTTATCTCCCCCAACAAACACGGCCATTAAATTTGGCCTTGCGAAGACAAGTGTCAGCGTATCAAGCTTTGCGTGCTGCACGACATTCTTCACGATCTTTCCATCAATGAGCGCTTCCCTCCTCAATATGGTTTCATGCGGTGCCCTCATGGCCAAAACCGCATGCCCAGAGGAGGGTTCAGCATTTTGGAGCACAAGCTGTGCAGCTTGCAAAGCATGTAAGACGACGTTTTTGACTCCTTTGGCTTTACGGCGGTTTGCCAGGGCTGGGCTTCAGCTCACGCCTTTCCTGATCCGGATCTGCAGTGGGCCGCTGTAGCTCTGGGGGTTCTGGGCCACGGGCTGTTCAAGCTCGGCCTGCTCTTCCCGGATCCAGTCCTTCTGGGCTGTTAAATGCTTGCTCTTGCAATGTAAAATAGGATGTACAATATGGCTGGAGTGTTTCCTTCTGCTGGTTTGACCGTCATGGCGACTGCGTTTTCTCTGGAGCTTCAGGTAACCTAAATGTTTGACATCGCTTCTCACGCCGTCAACTGTCCCAGGCATCGGTAAGGTCAGCGTCGCCATTGTGATGGTCCTCGTGGCTGCTACGTTTTTTTGGATCCCCATTGGCGGCGATGAGCGTTCGGCCTTGCGCACACCTGACATCAATCAACAAATCCTTTCAACGTGGTCTGGACTACTCTAGTCTGCATCGTGCATGGTCTGCGTATACGTGCATTTTCGTGCTGCATGTACATCTCTTGCGTGCAATCTCGGGCGATCTCCTGCGCTTTTGTGCAATCTCGTGAAAGCAAGATTCCAGGGGGTGCCGCATTGAATGTTGGCTGAATTAATGAAGCAGGTCAACCTTGGCAATAGCGCTGGTACGAACAGTGAAGCGAATAGCAGCCTTGAAGGTGCCAGTAGCAGAAAAAATCATGAGAGCATCTGTGCCAACAGTCGAAATAATGAAAAGATGTTGCTATCCATGGCAGAAAACGGGTTCGGCCGTCAAGCAAAAAAAACAATAACATTGTGGTGACAAGCATCCAGGGTCAGCTTTCCCATGAGGGCTACAGACCATAAATGCAGGTCGCGGCACACGGGTACTCGGAACAGGCAGACGCTGATGCAGGAGCATTCTTGTTCAAAGCCATGAGCACGATAGACTAACAGTGCCGTGATGATCTTATCCAACAGATCGACGCTAGCTGGTACCAGAACATGCATAATGGCATAAAAATGTCATCATCAAGCAGCCAGGTTTTTTCATTGGAATGATCACGACCACGACCACGTTCCCCCCGCGCCCACACACCCCTGTAAATACCCCAGCTGTTTACTCAGGCTCTACCAGGGGGCACAGTGTCCCAAAGGGCGGGGGTGAGCTCAAGGGAGCGAGGTAAATAGTCTGATGACCATTGGTATGAGTCTGTTTAGTAGGAGAGCCTATAAAAAAAGGTCTTAATATGATCCAAAGTGATCGTTATGAGTGGGTGGGGGACCGCGTCACATTCAATAAACAAACCAAGGGTCTCCCCCGTGATGTTTGCTTTCATGGGTTACTGAGATCCATGAATGAAAAGAACACCGTACCCCTAAAGTGATCCGCAACTGAATGCTCCGCCTGGCCTCTGGGTTTTGCGGTCACCGCAAATGTAGCCCCCCTATGTCAGTTAAGCACAATGCCCCACTGATCAGATTACTACACTAGAGACTGTGCCCATAACATCTCAGAAAACTAAAGGAAAGTAGAGGCGCCTAAAAAGCGCGTTCATGGCCTGGGGAGGCAGCTCGGTGCTCGGCTTTGTGCTTGGCATCTGCGTCCCACCTGAAAAATACAATGGCGGAGAGGATAGGGCTTAGGGTTTATGTAAGGACTCAGGGTTTGGGATCGGCTTACGGTTTCCTCAGTCCGAATACACGGAATAAGCGGGTTGATTTATTTAGCCAGCGCCCGGCGCTGTGCTCGCCACGTTTGCGCGGGATTTTCTGAGGGATCGTGGGAATTTCTTGCGCTCATACATGGCAACATCTTATGAACAGTCATGATGCCTTCCTTCACACGAGGTCTTATTGGCGGAAGCAATCTCATCATCCGCAACAGCAGACATTGTATAAGCCACTCTCTCTGAATCCTTTTCATGACGCGCTGATCAGAGATGTATTAGAGTGTGTGTTGTGACCATGCGGCAACTAGTTGCTGACAAAGCTTGCATAAGCCTTGCGACGCAAGTCAACACCGCAGCATCAAGTTTGCTTGGGCGTTGCTTGTTTCGATTGGGGCAAGTAAGGCGTGCTGAGACGAAACACGCTGCTGCATTTGATTTTCGTCGAGCTGTCCCCAATGCTGCTGTTCCAGTTTGCGCTTCAGGACTTCCTCAAAGGTATTGCTGTGGACTACTTTGAAAGCACGCGTGCCATCGGAGAGAACAACGGTTGCCTGGCTCAAGCAGCCTATGAGCTTATTTGGACATTTGAGTCCAGGTACTCAAGAACCTATTGCTTTCAGTATGACTGGAGACGACGGGCCTTTGTTCTTCCTGTTGTAAACTGGATATACTTTGTGCTGGTCAGCGGTCTTTGGCTGATCCCGGTCGTGAGCTTCATCCGAAAGTTCGGAGTCTGGACTAGCAAAGTCAACACCGGGCACTACCTGCATTTCATGTTCCGTGTTCGCCAGGATGTGCGCTATCGACGGCTGTGCTTGCTGATCGAGAGCCTGGCCTTGTTGACTACGATTTGTCTCCTTGTGTTTGCGTGGATGCTTGGAGTCTAAACCATTGTTTATCAGCGTTTTTCTAGTTTTTCCAGAGGAGGTTCAACAATTGTAGTTCCACAAAGGCATAGTGCAGAATTGGAGCTGCATGTCCGCCAAAAGCCCACTCTTACCGAGGATTCCTGATCTGGATAATAAAAACCAAGCTGGTCACTGGCTTGGTCATTGTGGCGAGCATGCGGGCTTTCACCAGGCCAGTTCATCCAACATTCGATTTTGCCAGTGAGGGCTTCGGCAACCTCTACTTCAGGGGCGCGCTGCCACTTCCCTCACAGGCCTTGGCATACAGCATCACCTCCGCTCTGGTTGAAGCAGAAGCTGCCAGCCATATCCAGCTTGCTCTACATCCCGAGAAGAGGGTAATTATGCAGTAATTTGGGTCTACATGACTGCAGTGAGGTCACTTTTTCGGGAATCGTACAGACGTGAAGTTCGCTGGATGCACTTCACATAGTGGTCCCGACTCGTAGGCTTGTCTGACAACGGGAGTAGGAACCGTCTCCGAGATATTTGATGTTGAAGTTTTTCGGCTTGTGCAATTACTGAAACTTGTTCATGCCTGCGAGCGCCGGAGCGCTAGGGACTTAGGCCTTGGGTCATTCACGGTAGATAGCCAACTCTTCGTGGAGCTGTAAGCCGTCTGATTGGCAAAAGTCTGGGCAACCACTCTAAACCCAAGCCCTGAAGCTAGCTCTAAACATTAGTTGTAAACCCTAAACCCCTAAACCCTAACCCCTAAATCCAATCCTCTCGACTTGGGACCCAAGGTTGCAGACGGTAAGGGCTTACAGCCAGATCCGAGGATTTCCAAGCCGTTCCTCGCCTGTTCGGCACATGTTTGCTCTTGCATCGGGCTTGTGAGGGCACTGCGCACGCTGCAGTTCTATGGAATGCCTTGTAGTCAACATATTCATGTGAGCTATAGTCTAAACTCCTAAAAAGGGGGTTATATAGGGGATTATATAGGGGACTACTATAGGGGATATTAAGGGGGGATACTAGGAGTTTAGACTATAGCTCATGTAGTGCAGTTGCCATTTGTTTGCCCGTGGCTTGATCGAATCAGGGTTGTTTGTGTTCAGGAGAGGCGTGGGAGTGTCCATTGCTTGACAGTCGCTTAGTTACCTCTTCAGGCTGCCGGCAGACATCCTAAACCCTAAACCCTAAACCCTAAGCCCTAAACCCTAAACCCTAAACCTAACTCAAAAAGGACAGCCTTTTACATGGAGCTTGGGGCCTAAGATTCTGCAGATGTACATGGGAGTTTCCCAAAATAGGGGGACCCCAATATAGACCCCAAAATATTATAGTCCTTATTATGGGGACCCCAAAAAAAGTACCCCTAATTTAGGAAACCCCCACATTGTCAAGTGGGGTATGCCAGGGTCAAGTACTTCAGGTCCTGACTGCAGACAGGAATGCCCCAACGGATCTCATTGGAAGTTTAGATGTTTTACCCTCGGGCTCCAGTTACCTAAATAAGGGGTTCTAGGTTCTATGTACCCCATTTTAACAAAAAGCCCAGTAACCCACGACTGTATAGGTAACTGGGGGCCCTAGGGCTATGCCATGTGGAGCTTCACAGTGAGGGATGTTGCTGTACAGATTCGGAGTGGCGCGTATTTTGCCAGTTTGGGACGGCCGATTGGAGTTCCAGGCTCCGGCCAATGTTCTACAATGTATTAGTTTCCATTTTACTTTCCACTATCCCTATATAACCCCAATAATGAGGGGTAAGGATACTCTGCCATGTTCTAGGCTGCATCACCTCTAATAGTGAAGGCTCCGCCCTGCCTCCTTTGCATTAAATTCGTCCACAGTTTAAACTAAGGTATTACATTGAGGTTATGTATTGTTAGCCAGGACGGTGCTGTCGAGGCCGGCGAGCCCGATCCCAACTTGATCTGTTACGGAGGATGCTGCGGGAAGCGGACTACAACTCCACAAACTCTCTGTATTATTTCGAAGCGTAGGAGCCCAAATTCATTAGCCAACAAATGCTACATCCAAACTCGCTCGCTGCATCCCAGACCAAAGGCTTCAAATTGTATATCTGAGGCAACTGCAGAAGAAAGGTTTTCAAGAGGGGACAGTACACGAGCCTGTTATTTCCCGCATGTATCTCCTTCTAACCCCATATAGCCTGAATGAACCTGCTTGTAAGCTCCCCCCGATTGGAAAACCCTCCCGAATTGCGCTTGTCAACCCAGTCTGCTGGTCCGCTTGATGGGAACCGCTGATGCTGAGTTCCTCCGCAATGTAGCCATCCCAGCCGTGGCTTAGGGTCTAGGTTAAGGTTTAGGTTTAGAGTCGGGCTATGCATTTCAGTTGTTCATGGAGCAGTGGGTTTTTGAGAGTTTCCATGCTCAATTCCAAAATCTTAATGACAGTGTCTCGCTTTAAAGCCATTTAGGGTGTTTGGATGTGTTTGGAGCACTTTGAGGTCCAGGGCTTTGGGGTCAAGGTTTCTGATTTTGCTTCTCCTGATGATGATAGACAGGTTGTATGTTGTAGCTGTCCGTACAGACTTCGTCTCCGAAGCGGGGCCTGGGAAATAAAAGGATGCTGCCGCAATATCAAACTCCTGGTGCTTGATCCTGTGAAAGGGTGGGATGTGAATTAAATCCCTCGACAGAGACCTCCCTGTACGCCTGTCATAGTATCATTCACATGTCCAGTGTACATGTATCATTCTGGGTCTCCCACATGTATGAAGGACCCATAAAAACCTCAAATGGGCCATGGTCTTAACTCCTAGTATCCCCCTTAATAACTCCTTAATATCGTCCCCTACATGATCCCTGTCATTATGTAACCCCCTCTTTAAGGAGTTTAGATTATAGCTCAGGTACCGAACCTGAACCTTCAACCCCTACTTGAAGGATCGTGCTGTT